CGCCCAAAGCTTCAAACCCTCCACAAACCCCGAAGATAAGACCGTACTTGGTAGGACTTAAAACTCCCCCAAACCCTCAAACCCTAAACCCTACACCCTAAACCCCAAACCCTACACCCTAAACCCTCAAACCTCAAACCCTAAACCCTAAACCCCAAACCCTAAACCCGAAACCCGAAATCCTCAAACTCCCCAAGCCCTGAACTTCCCCGCTCACAGCTGGGCCTGGCCAAAGCCCGCCGGGGGCGGCGCGGCCACTGGAGCCAGCTGCCCCTGGGCGAGGGCTCCGCATGTTCTTCGGGTTTTCGTAGGGTTTGTGTAGGGTGTTTTTGTTGCAGAGCTGTGTTGTAGGGTTTTTGTTCGGTTGTTGCTAGGGTTTGGTGAGGCTTCTTAGGTTCTTAGGGTTCCTCGCGCCTTTGGGGTTCTCAGGGTTCGTAGGGCGTTTTAGGGTCTGCAGCACGCGGGCGACCGTGGGCTACCCCTCAAGCACTTGAGCCCCTGAAATTCGTGAACCCTTGAACCCACAAACTGCTTGCTAACCTCAAAACCTACAACCCCTCACCCTTAACCGAGAAAGGCCCAAAAAACTCACCCAAAAGAGCTGAGCCTCTCAGTGAGCAAAGCTCCCTCTCTCTGTAAGCCCCTATGTAAGACCCCAACCCAAAACCCTAAAGCCTTAAATCCCAAGCTCCTCACCCCGCCAAAAGAATCCAACACGCAGAACAGCTAAATCCGTAAACCCCTAGACCCCGGAATGAACCGCGCCTTGCGTGGGAAACCAATCAAAGGCCCAAGCACTTACCCTACCCTAAACCCTAAACCCTAAACCCTAAACCCCAACAAGCCTGGAACTCAAAACCGACAACCCGAAGACAAACCGACCACTCGAAGTCCACCCGCCCCCAACGCCCAAACCCCGCAACACCTCATGTGCCTAAGCGCCGGGAAGCCTCGCACCCCTACACAAACTCCAAGCCCCAATCTAAAAGCCTGAAACCTGAACCGAAATCCCAAGCCCCTAACCCCGAGCCGCACCTAAATCCTAGCACCTAACCCAACCACCCTAGACCCTAAACCCTAACCCCTAACCCCTAAACCCTAAACCCTAAACCCTAAACCCTAAACCCTAAACCCTAAACCCTAAACCCTAAACCCTGAACCCCCAACCCAAAAAACCCTAAACACTGAACCCTAGGAGAGCCTGCGCCTGAGCTTGGGCTTGGGCTTGTGCCTGGGCCTGTCGAGGCTTTAGGGGTGAAAGGGCTTGGGGGGGTAGGGGCTTAGGGTTTAGGGTTTAGGGTTTAGGGCTTAGGGTTTAGGGTTTAGGATTTAGGGTTTAGGGTCTGGGGCTTAGGGCTTAGGGTTTAGGGGTAAGGGGCTTAGGGTTTAGGATTTAGGGTTCAGGGTTTGGGGGCTTAGGGCTTAGGATTCAGGGGTAAGGGGTTCAGGCGCCAGGCCGTTATGCATGGGATCCTCTGCCATTCGAAGAGAAGCACTCATGCAGAAAGGTTTTCCAATGGAACCCTTCTTGAAGGGTGGATGATTATGAATGGGACAACCTGTGTGATTGTTCATCAGCACTCAAAACTTATAGCCCCTCCCAAAGAACCTTCAAGCATGTAGGCCCTGAAGATGCCCAACTCCGCACAATCCTAGTATTGAGTCAGCCCCATCCCCCCAGGGCAGCCTGTGCTTGCGCCTGGCAAGTGGAAGGCTTCGTTTCCCGCGATTGTGTGTGTAGGGGTTTCGGGTTAAAGTGGTAGGCTTTCGGCTTTGGGCTACAGGCTTTGGGCTTGAGGCTGTAAACGGGGTTGAGGGTTAGGCTTTGAGGGTTTGGGGGGTTTCTGGTTTGTGCATTTAGGCGTCTGGCGATTTTGAAGGCTGAGGGGTCTGGCTTCCAGGTTTAGGGTTATAGAGTATTCCACGCCCAGGGCCTTTTGGTGCCTCGGTTCTTGGTGGATTTGTCTTTAATCCGAGCATCTGATTAGTGGGTGGGGGGCCCCCCCCCCCCCCACAATAAGGAATGCAGGGTTCCGCAATAGTTGGACCGTGGCCCTGTATTGATTCTCTATTAAAAACAATAGGCTGCAGATCCCTGAGGTGCTGTAGCTTTGCGTCTCCGCAAGCAAAACAAGAAGCCTGCCGACAGATTTTTGAACCCCCCAAAAAAATTCCTTTAAATGTGGGGGGTTTGTCCCATACGAAATCCACCCTAATGGAAAGTAGTCTTCCGGCGGGCTTCCGGCCAAAAAAAAATTCTTTAAATGTGGGGGTATTAATTAATCAGATGCTCGGATTACGAACACTTCATCTTGGGAAGTTGGGGAGGCTAGTTTTAGTGCGCAGCAGTCTTAGGTCCACAAACCTCTAAGTTACTAGCGTGTCCCTGCACTACCCCTCCTGCCCTGCCCTGGCCTACACTCCTCTTTTTGGGGTTTTCGGGCTCAGGGGTAAACAGCCCCCAGCGACGAAGCAACTGCGCAGCAACCACGCGCAGCGCACGAACTCGCCAGCGGCATTACGTGAACATCGCCACTCCAAGCAGTCACAAAGGGCCGACCCCGAAATGTGACGCATGCGTAAGTATCGATAATTACCCAGGATGAACTCTGAACTGCAAACGTTCAAGCCTATGAAGTGTTCCACCAACCCACTTCAATTGATAAGAGCCTTGAAGGCGTCGTTACCGCACGACCCTAATGCCCTTAGCGTTCAGGGCTTGAGGTCACTTAGGGCCACTTGTAGGGTTCCCAAAGCTTAGTTTCTAGGGCCACGAAACCCCAAAACCCGGACCCCCAAACCCTGAACCCCAGCCAAATCTCACTCCCTCGAATTACCAGGCAGCGCCAGGCCTGCGCTTGCGCCTGCCCAGGAAAACGCGGGTGGGGGGGCTTTGGGGATCTGAGTCCTGAGGTGATGGGGGCGAAGGGCTCTTGTTTAAGCTTGGAAGCTGAATCTCACGGAGCGCTCCCCACCCAACTACTAATTGCTTCAAGAACCCCAAAAAAGATATTCCTCCTTACAAGGGGTAATATGGGGATTATAATTGCGTTTTTTTTTTTTTGGGGGGGGGGGGAGTTCTTAAGCAAATACTAGCGAAAAACAGTCAGCCCCCGAGCTACCCGAAGGCGTGCCTGCAAACGAAGAATTAGGGGCGTGCCCAAACCCTTTGCACCCTATGAGGCCTCCGGGTTCAGGGTTTAGGGTTCAGGGTTTAGGGTTCAGGGTTTTGGGCTCGTGGCTTGTTTCAGGAACACCTCCTTCATAAAACCAGGACCCTGAAGCCAAAAACTTGGAGCCTTTTTTTCATCTCGTACAGCAAGAACTCAACAGTTTCCAACCCTTAAACCCGACACCCAAAACCTCTAATTAAAGCCCTAAACCCTAAAACCTAAATCCTAGACCCCAAGCCCTAAAGCATAAAGCCTAAAGCCTAAAGCCTAAAGCCTAAACCCTAAACCCTAAACCCTAAACCCTGAACCCTAAACCCTAAACCCTAAACCTCAACCGCAGTCCGAAAGATCCGAGAAACGCCTTAGGATTCTATGGCACACCCCCAAGCCTCAACTTCGAACACCCTGACCCTCGACCCGAAACCCTATAAACCCACATGGAGACCAACCCCTAAACCCTAAACCCTAAACCCTAAACCCACATGGAGACCACTCTTCCCGGTTCCCGCCTGCACTTGAGCCTGGCGAGCGCAGGGCTTGAGGGATTTCAGGGTTTTGGGGTTTCGGGCTTTGGGTTTTTAGGGTTTGGGGGTTTTAGGGTTTAGCGTTTAGGGGTTTTGGGGTTTGGGGGCTTTGGGTTTTAAGGTTTTGAAGTTTCAGGCCTTTTGTTTCTTCGGGGGGCGGGGTGGTTAAGTTCAGGGTTAAGGGCTTAGGTAAAGGGTGCAGCACTGGTGGCGCCCACCCCAAGACTGCCACACTGGGCTTCAGGCACCCTGGAAGTTGGGCCTTCTTTCTGGGTGGGGACGGGGGGGGGGGGGGGGGGGGCATGGGACATCACAACCGAAGCACGCCCAAGAAGCACCCTGAACCGCCAGACCCGAACAAATACCCGAATTCACCCACACGCTCTTGAACCCGTACATCTCTAAACCCTAAACCCTAAACCCTAAACCCTAAACCCCAAACCCTAAACCCCAAACCATAAACCTAAACCCCTCAAAGCCCTTCAAGTTCCTGACGCGCGAACGTGACCAAACAGGGCGGACCTGCCTGAGCGTGTGCCTGCACGCGGGCCGTGGGAAGATGTAGGGTTTTGGGGCTTATAGGGCTTGAGAATGTTTAGGGAACGAAGAGAGTGACTGACGATCCGGGTACGAAGAGCTTCTATACGAAGTGCGCTACCTCGCATAGACCCCCCTAAACCCAAGCCCTAACCTAAGACTCCCAAATGCTGAATCCCAACCCCTAAATTAGGGCATGGGGTTTAGGGAGTGAGGGCTTAAGGGAGCGAGGATTTGCCCTAAACCCTCAAAACCAATCAGGGCATCTTCCTGTTGACACGGAAAGCTGGGCACTAAAATCTCACCATCTCAGAGCAACGAGCGACTAAACAGGGGTAACCCTTCCATGCTTTAAGAGGTCAAAAAGGGAACCTAACCCAACCCTAAACCCTAAACCCTAAACCCTAAACCCTAAACCCTAAACCCTAAACCCTAAACCCTAAACCCTAAACCCTAAACCCAACAGCAAGGGAACCCGGGCCGCCACTTGGATTCATTCATATTTCCATTCCACACCCAGAGGCGATGACCCTCATCCTATGGGAAGTAATTCGCATGGATGCAAAAACCACAACTAAGATGGTAGCCAGCTCTAAACATACGTCTTCAACTCTTAACCCCACGTACCAGTGTCCCTGAACCTCGAAGTAGGGCTTAGTTCGCAAACTCCAAGCCCCCCCGAAAGCCTGCAAGGCCTGAAACCCAAACCCTAAAACCCTAAACCCCAAACCCTAAACCCTAAACCCTAAACCCCAAACCCCAAACCCTAAACCCCAAAACCCATGAGCAACCCACCCTTCCGGAAACCCTCAGCGGCCTGCGCTTGCGCCTGGAGCTCCGCGAGGCTGGCCGCGGTGTGGGCCTTGGCCCAGAGGGCTCAGGTGGACATGGAAGCTCGGAGATGGGTTGAGGGTTGAGGGTTTAGGGGTTTGGGGGTTTAGGGTTTGGGGTTTAGGGTTTAGGGTTTAGGGGTTTAGGGTTTAGGGTTTAGGGTTTGGGGGTTTAGGGGTTTAGGGGTTTAGGGGTTTAGGGGTTTAGGGGTTTAGGGTTTAGGGGTTTAGGGGTTTAGGGGTTTAGGGTTTAGGGGGGTTTAGGGGTTTAGGGGTTTAGGGTTTAGGGGTTTAGGGGTTTAATGGTTAGTTTTAGGGGTTTAGGTTTTAGTGGTTTAGGGGTTTAGGGTTTTTAGGGTTTAGGGTTTAGGGTTTTAGGGTTTAGGGTTTAGGGGTTTAGGGTTTAGGGGTTTAGGGTTTAATAGGTTTTAGGGTTTTAGGGTTTGGGGGGTAAGGTTAGGGTTAGGGTTTAGGGTTTAGGGTTTTTTAGGGTTTAGGGTTTAGGGTTTAGGGTTTAGGGTTTAGGGTTTTTTAGGGTTTAGGGTTTAGGTTTAGGGTTTAGGGTTTGGGGTTTGGGGTTTAGGGGTTTAGAGGGTTTTGGGGGGGTTTAGGGTTTAGGGGTTTAGGGTTTAGGGTTTTAGGGTTTAGGGTTTAGGGTTTTAGGGGTTAGGGTTTAGGGTTTAGGGTTTAGGGGTTTAGGGTTTTAGGGTTTAGGGTTTAGGGGTGTTAGGGGTAAGGGTTTTGGGGGTTAGGGGTTTAGCGGGAGTTTAGGGTTTAAGGTGTGGGTTTAGGGGTTTAGGGGGTTAGGTTTTAGGGTTTAGGTTTGGGTTAGGGTAGGGTTAAGGGGTTTGGGTGAGGGTTTAGGGTTTAGGGTTTGGGGTTTTTAGGGTTAGGGTTTAGGGTTTAGGGTTTTAGGGTTTTGGGGGTTAGGGTTTATGGGGTTAGGGGTTTAGGGTCGGTTTAGGGTTTAGGGTTTAGGGTTGGGTTTAGGGTTTAGGGTTAGGGTTTAGGGTTTGGGTTTTAGGGTTTAGGGGGTTTAGGGTTTAGGGGGGTTTAGGGTTTAGGTGTAGGGTTTTAGGGTTTAGGGGTTAGGGGTTAGGGGTTTTTCAGGGGTTTAGGGTTGAGGGGTTGGGTTTTAGGGGTTTGGTTAGGGTTTAGTTTAGGGTTTAAAGGGGTTTAGGGGTTTAGGGGGGTTTAGGGGTTTGGGGGTTTGGGGGTTATGGGTTTAGTGGTTTTAGTGGGTTAAGGTCTAGGGGTTAGGGGGGGTTTAGGGGTTTTTTAGGGGTTTAAGGTTTGGGTTTTAGGGGTTTATTAGGGGTTTAGGGGGTAGGGGTTTAGGGGTTTTAAGGGGTTTAGGGGTTTAGGGGGGTTTAGGGGTTTAGGGGTTTAGGGTTAAGGGTTTCGGGTTAGGGTTAGGGGTTTGGGGGTTTGGGGGTTTTGGGGTGGTGGGGGTTTGGGGTTGGGGGGGTTGGGGGGTTGATGGGTTTAGGGTGGGGGGGGTTTAAGGGGGGGGGGGTTGGGGTTTTGGGGTTTTAGGGGGTTTTAGGGGGTTTTTAGGGGTTTGTTGGTTTAGGGGTAAGGGGTTTGGGGTTTAGGTGTTTAGGGGGTTGAGGGGTTTTAGGGGTTTTTAGGGTGTTAGGGTTGGTGTTAGGGTTTGCTAGGGTTTAGGGGTTTAGGGTTTAGGGGTTTAGGGGTTTTTAGGGTTGGGGTTTAGGGGGTTTAGGTTTTTTAGGGTTTTAGGGTCTAGGGTTTTGTAGGGGTTTAGGGTCAGGGTTTAGGGTTTGGGTTTTTGGGTTTCGGGTTTTTAGGTGTTAGGGTTTAGGGGTCCTAGGGGTTTAGGGGTTTAGAAGCCTTTCGGGTTTAGGGGTTTAGGTTAATTTTATTTTAGGGTAGGGATTTGTTTAGAGGGGTTTTAGGGTTTTGGGGTTTAGAGGGGTTTAGGGTTTAGGGGTGTAGGGGATTAGGTTTAGGGTTTAGGTGTTTAGGGTTTAGGGTTTAGGGGGGTTTAAGGGGTTATGGTTTAGGGTTTAGGGGTTTAGGGGGTTTTAGGGTTTAGAGGAGGGGTTTAGGGTTGGGGTCTTTTAGGGGGGTTTAGGGGTTTTTAGGTTTTAGGGGTTTAAGTTAAGGGTTTTCGGGTTTAGGGTTAAGGGGGGTTTTTAGGGGTTTAGGGGTTTAGGGGTTTATGGGTTTAGGGGTTTGGGTTGGGTTTTATGGGGTTGTTTAGGGGTTTAGGTTTTTATGTTTTTAGAAACAGTTTAGGGGTTTGGGGGGGTTTATAGGGGTTTAGGGGTTTAGGGGTTTAGGGGTTTAGGGGTTTAGGGGTTTAGGGGTTTAGGGGTTTAGGGGTTTAGGGGTTTAGGGTTTAGGGTTTAGGGTTTAGGACTTAAGGCTTAGGGTTTAAAGTTGGCTCATCATTCGTCCGTATATTCAGTTACTAACTCCCTCTCATCAAAATGTAAGCGAAGCGAATGAACGAACGAATGACCACTAGTTAAAGTCATACAGATATTCAGATAGGAAAGATTGTTATGACTGGGGCGTGCGAATATAAATAGCCCCTACGAAAAAATCGTAGGATAAAGGTGCTTTTAACATTAATATATTGACGCCCCGGTAAATTGAGTTGCAGATGCACGCACCGATATTTTTACTATCACGGAATACCTTTTCTCTATTAATGCGAGAACTTGTCATTGAACGGCTTGCACCGATATGCGTTCCAAGGGAATCGGCTTTGAGGCGGCCAAGCAGAATCGCAATCAAGTCCGCATTGTTCGTCAGCTGCTCTTGCCATGGCTGGGTGGTGCCACTCGCAGAGCAGAAGTCGTCGTTGAACATGTTGCTCGCGATGCTGTCGTGGCTGATGAAAAGGATGTTGCACACGAAATTCAAATTCAAACCCCAAGCCTATTTTAAACCCAATCTGCAATATTAAGTTCATGCATTCCGTTCGCGCTTTCACTGTTATCTTCTTTCACCGCGGCGACAAAGCTAACATTTAGGGAAACTCCTAAACCCCTAAACCCCTAAACCCCCTAAACCCCCTAAACCCCCTAAACCCCCTAAACCCCCTAAACCCCCTAAACCCCCTCAATAGACGCACTCCAGGGCCCCGGGCGTCTAAGGCCGCCTGGGCGTCGATAGCCGCCTGCGGCCACGTGCGCAAACGGGATGTAGGGTTTAGGGTTTAGGGTTTAGGGTTTAGGGTTTAGGGTTTAGGGTTTAGGGTTTGGGGGCACTTGGGGTTTCAGGATTTAGGGGCTTGCAAGCTTTGGAGCTTCGTTGCTTTGGAGGGTTTCTGGGGACATTCCGGCAGGAGCCCTAAGAACACAACCAACCATAAATTTAGCTAGCCTACTCAAAGCTCAGCTGTAGCACTTCTGAATATCCAAGAAGCCTTGGGCCTCGAACGCCGGCGCACATCGGGCTTAACCGACCCTGGTATCTAACCCTGAACCCACAATCCCTAAACCGGTGCTGGGCTTGGGCTGCTTGGTGCATTGTGGCTTTGGGCTTAGGGGGGCTCTTGTTGTGCACGCGTCCTCCGTTCGTGGCTCTTCAAAGGCTTAGGATGTTGCAACTTGCCACGAGTCTGGCCCTTGCGGGCCGATCGAGGATCCACGAGTGTTGAGTTTCCAGCTCCCTAAACCCTAAACCCTAAACCCTAAACCCTAAACCCTAAACCCTAAACCCTAAACCCTAAACCCTAAACCCTAAACCCTAAACCTTTAGCGGCCCTAAACAAGAAGCCCTAAACGTTCCACGCGATTTCTCCTCTCTCCTTGCCGAGCCACGTCCAACAGGCCAAGCAGACTTGCTAGCACAGCAGCAGAGGTTCTCAGATGTTCCCTAAACCCTAAACGCTAAACCCTAAACTCTGAACCCTAAACCCTAAACCCCAAACCCCTAAACCCCTAAACCCCCTGAATTGCCTTAGGGCCTTGGAGGTCAAGGCTTTCGACCCCAAGCCCTATAAGCTTGCGAAAGCAAAAGCCCTAAAGCCCTAAAGCCCTCAACCCTGAAACCCAAAAACCCAAAGAGCCCCCAAAACCCCTAAACCCTAAACCCTAAACCCGAAACCCTAAACCCTAAACCCTAAACCCCCAACCCTAAATCCCTAACCCACCAGACACCGAGGAGGCTCAGAGGCAAAGCTTCGGACCGTAGTCGGCCTTCAAATTTGGCTCCTAAACGCAACGCCCCCCTCGTCTTGTCCTTAAGGTTTACCCAAAGGCTCCAATGTAGTTCCTTTTTGGGTTAGTTATAGGGGATTCTAGTATACTACCCCAAAAAGGTACTACATAGGAGCCTTTGGGCAGGCTTTTGTCATAAGGAACCCCCTTTACCGAAGGCAGTAGCTGCCCAAGCACCGCAAGCGCCAAATGTCCTGGAATTTTGGGGGGCTCCAAAGGCCGGAGCTCCAGTCTTGAAGGCATGCTCACAAGGGGTTGCTAGGGTTCCACGTCTTATGGCCCAAACCCCCAACGGGACAGCTTTTTCAGCTGGAGAACCCCTGCTCCCTCTCACAAAAAGCATGACGGAGAAGCCACACTTTGGGCTTCCTGTTCAAAGCCGCCGTTTCGAGTGGGAGTGGCGGCCACGCCAAGCCGACAGATCCAGGCGCCTCTCTCTTAAAGACCACGAAGCGAACTTTAAACAGATGGGGCGAGCTCGTGACAGCTGCCAAGGGCAATGCAGGAACATCACACGCGCGTTCTCACCCTGCGGAAGTGTGGCATCCTAATTCCTCAGAACGGTCCGCCACCGTGACCGCCACTACCAGACGTTCCAATCTCAACAAGAATGCTTCCATCATCCGGGCCATCTGCAGAATGGCAGAACAAATCTAGAAAGAATAAGGTTGAGGATTTAGTCGTGAAGAAGCTTGCATCCCACAGCCACAAGATGACAAGATGATGGACCCATATGTGCGCTTGATGCATTCTGACCATTCCAGATGCACACAACTCATCCGCCCTATAGCTCGTTGATGCGAAGCTCTCGGCACGCGTTCCTTTGTCAGTTTCTGTGCGGCACGCCTCAAGTCATATAACCTCCGACCTCATAGCCAGTTCTCTCAATTTCTCAACCTTGAGCCTTTTGAGACTCCGACGATGATCAGCCCTAGACCCTATAAACCCGAAACTCTAAACCCTAAACTTAACCCTAAACCCTAAACCCTAAACCCTAAACCCTAAACCCTAAACCGATACGAGTTCCTAAAGGAGCTTCCCCAGCGAGCCGTAGGATTCGATCAGTGCAAAGGGCGGGTCCTCATCCCGGAGCCTGGCGGGGCTGAGGGTTTAGAGTTTAGGGTTTAGGGTTTAGGGTTTAGGGTTTCGGGTTAGGGTTTAAGGTTTAGGGTTTAGGGTTTAGGGTTTAGGGTTTAGGGTTTGGGGTTTAGGGTTGAGGGTTGAGGGTTGAGGGTTCAGGCTTCAGGGTTCAGGGTTCAGGGTTTGGGGGTTGAGGCTTTTTGCAGGTGAGGTTTCGGGGTTTTAGGGGGTTTAGGGGTTTTAGGGGTTGTAAAGCTTAGGGTTGAGGGGTTTAGAGGGTTTAGAGGATTCAGATGGTTTTTGCAGGGGATGCGGGCTCAGAGCTTGGCTGCTTGGTTTCGCCGGGGTGTTGAGAAGGGTCGGGAGCTCTGGGAAACCCTAAACCCTAAACCCTAAACCCTAAACCCTAAACCCTAAACCCTAAACCCTAACCTTCCACCCGGCCCCGTGGGCAGTGGTGCTTTGTTTGGAGCATGTCAGAATGAGCGGTTCCAGACTTTAGGCAGAGGCCGCAGGTCGCCGAAACCCCCATTAAGCCCAATAAATGAAACCCTTAACCCTAAACCCTAAACCCTAAACCCTAAACCCTAAACCCTAAACCCTAAACCCTAAACCCTAAACCCTAAACCCTAAACCCTAAACCCTAAACCTAGATGTTGAAACCTTTAGATGGATGTAGGAACCGGAGGCTTAGAGCTTGGGACCCTAAACCCTGAACCCTAAGGAATAAACCGCAAACACTACAAACCAAACATTTAGGGTTTGGGGTTTGGGGTTTGGGGTTTAGGGTTTAAGGGTTTAGGGTTTAGGGTTTAGGGTTTAGGGTGGCACTAGACCATAAATCCGAGATGTTGAGGCCCTGGGATGGATGTAGGACCCGGAGGCTTCGGGCTTGGGACCCCTAAACCCTGAACCCTATCCCCGAAACCCGAAACCCGAAATCCTAAACCCTAAACCCCTAAACCCCGAAATCCTAAACCCTAAGCCCTAAACCCTAAACCCTAAACCCTAAACCCTAAACCCTAGGGACTCGGGCTTGAATAGCCCAGCACCAATGAAGCCAGCAAGCCCTTCAACTCACTTAGCTCGGAGGGCTCAAGATTTAGGACTTGGGGCTCATACACTTTGGATTTCAGGGCTTGTAGGGTTTAGGGTTGAGGGCTGAGGGCTTAAGGATTGAGGGTTTTAGGGTTCAAGGACTTAGGGCTTAGGGCTCAAGGATTTGGGGTTTAGGGGTTTTTTTGGGTTGGAGGATTTAGGGTTTAGGGTTTAGGGTTGAGGGTTGAGGGTTGAGGGTTGAGGGTTTAGGGTTGAGGGTTCAGGGTTTAGGGTTTAGGGTTTAGGGTGCTCTGAGCGGGCCGGAGCGCCTCCTCTCCTCTGCACGGACGACGGTCGTCCACCGCCTGCATCGGAAGGTGCTGCTGACTCTAGCTGGGATACTAAGACTTATGCTGAACCCTAAACCCTAAACCCTAAACCCTAAACCCTAAACCCTAAACCCTAAACCCTAAACCCTAAACCCTAAACCCTAAACCTATAAGAACAGCAATAAACAAAAGGTAACTGCAGTAAAAACCTTGCGTAGACAAAATGGGGCACCTTGGGAATGTGCTTGTCGCTGTGTCTACTGCCATGGCACCCTTTTTTGGGTACAAAGCGAAAGAACAAACAAACACAACCTTCTCAGACTACCCAAGCAGACTGTCTAAATGACAAAAGTCCCAGGGAGTATTTTTGCAGTATTGTTATCTTCTTTGGATTTTTAGTACAAGGACAGCCGCTGGAAACATGTGTCCCGCGCGCGCGCGCCGTCTGTTGCAGAATGACAGCTGCTAGGATCTTCGGGCCAAGCACAAAAACTGAAAGCAAATCTAAGAGTCTCCTGATTCTTTGGCAATTTCGGGCAAAAAGATAGCGGATGCCCAGCCGACATCTTCTTGCAGGGTTCAGGCTTGCCACGCCACTCCGGCATCTCTAGTTGGGTTTGCTGCCTTTCTTCCTCCCTTTGTCCCATTCTTTCTTCCTTCCTTTCTTCCTTCCTTTCTTCCTTTCTTCTTTCCTTTCTTCTTTCCATTCATTCTTTCTTCATTTCTTCAATCCTGTCTTCCTTCCTGTTCCTTCTTCTTCCTTCCTTTTGCTTCCTTTTCCTTCCTTTACCTTCCTTCTCCCACCTCTTCCTACCTTCCTGCCTTCCTTTTCAAGATTTGGGATCCTGGGAGTTTATTGATCCCCTGACAAGTTGTTTATGCTTAACAACGTGTTTCAAGCCCTGTGCCGAAAGCACTGGCCGAATAAAGATCTACGCAATGCTTCCACACTGACCAGTTGCTTGCACAAAGGAGCTGTCAAACTCCAGGAAGCCATCGGATGTTGTGGTTTGACACAAAAAGTTCAGACTTTGAGGCATACAAGAGGATTTTTCCGGTATAGGGACCCCGTCTTGATGTAGAAGAATCCCCTGCCAAGGGACCCTCACCGTTAATTTCCGGAAAAACACCTGCAAAACCCCTGGACTCTAACCCTAGGATGGAGAATTCTTCCTGTGGAAAGCCCGGCCTCAGCTGTTCTGTGAGCCCGGGCCACATCTGCACCTGGAATGTAACTCAGGGCTTCTCTGGTGGCGGCAAGGGAGCCCTTCACACCTTCAGCCCCAACCTTCAACCCCGGATCTGAAGCCACAAGCCCTAAACCTTACCTTCGGGCTTCGGGGCGCGATTCAGGTTTGAGCTAAGCAGACAGGAGGAGCAAAACCGTGGGGGGGTAAGGGTTGAGGGTTTCAGGGAATGAGAGGGCTTTTTTTGTAGGGTCTAGGACTTGGGGCCCTTTGGGGCTTTAGCGAAAGAACCCTAGAATTTGCAAGCCCTGCACTGACGTC